TTTCAGCACCTCGACTAATGATGGCTGTATTACCACCAGCATCCCCGCCCCACCTCCCTCCTCCCCTTCTTTACCATTCAAGTAGAGGGAAGATTTGTGTGAGCTGAGAAGACTGCTTCTTTTTTTTCTTTTTTTTTTAATCAGAAGAAAACAACAGCAGAATATTTAAAAATCCCTTAAGCAATTATTTTAGCAGGAACGAGGAAGAAGGGAGGAGGAGTTGAAGGATTCCTCGTGAGACTCTTTCTGCATCTGTTGTTCTTTGCTGCTCTCCGTTGGTAATAGCCTCCGTTCCTCGTCTCTATTCAGCGGCACAAAATGAGCCTTTCTGGTGGCAGCGAGAGTGATGAGTACATTCACCTCCATTCTGCTGCACTCTGCTCGGAGTGCGGGTCTGTGTGCGCACGAAATTAAAACTAAAGATTGTGAGTGCGCGCGTGCATGCGTCTCACTGCTTCGTCTATTTCCATGCATTTGCCTGGATATATAGAGTTTGTTTGCACGAGCATACGTGTGGCAAATGTTTATCCCAAGATGTAGATGACTGGGGTTTGTGCGCACGCTCTCGGGTGTCACTCGCGCATGTGTGTTCGCTGGGAGAGTGACGGGTGATGATGTTTGGTGTGCCGCCTCCCTCCCCACAGCGAAGGTAATCTCATTATTCAGCCCACTTCCTGCTGCTGCCACCAGAGACAGGCTGACAAACACTAACCACCTCGACGGCCGGAGCAGAGAGAAGAAAAGGGGGGTTAAAAGAAGAAGAGAAAAGGAGGAAAAAAAGACAGCGTGAATGGGTGAAAATTGCTTACAGAAACTCGGCAGTAAAAATGGAGGGCTATGAAAGGAGAAAGAGACATATGAAAAGAGGAGGAACGCCTGTGAATAGCCGCTGAAGCAACAGGAAATCTGAAGAGACAGAAGACATGGAACAGAAAGAAAAAAAAAGACAACCAAAAGGAAGATGCAAATGCTTAATTTGTGTATATGTAGAAGAGAAGGAAGAAAGGGAGCAAAACAGGGGTTGGAGGAGTGGTGGTGGGGGGAGAGAACAAGGGACTGAGTTTGTGGATTTAAAGTCACCCGGGACCGGCGGGCTAAATAGAATTACGTGGTGAATTTAGAATGATGCTCCCAAGCGCATATTTAACACTGTCAACAGAGGGAGGGATAGAATGGGAGACCTAGATACACACACACACACACACACACACACATATAATGAACGGAGCACAGGAGAGAAACTTCATCCGTAAAACCTCTTAATCCAATACCAATGAGAGTTTCCAGCTCAGCAAAGACTGCTGAAGCAAAAATGCTCCGATCGCACACCGACATCACAATCGGGTCCTGAACACACACACGTGCACAAGCAGGATTTAAAGAGGACACAAATGCACAGATGGAATTTAAAGTGGATTTTACCATGCATTTGCTTATTTTCTGTCTTTTATATGCTGTTACATTAGTGGATGCTCATATTAAACATGGCACAAGTTTTGATTATTCAATTTGATCCAATTCAATTTGATTTACATAGCGCCAAATCACCACAGCAATCGCCTCAAGTTGCTTTATGTTGTGTGGTAAAGACCCTATAATAATACTAAATGATGTGATCAGTGTTTCAGACAGTTTTTCCTACTTTTGGCTCTGTGTGATGTCACATGCAAGATGCATCCAGGCAGGGTTTTGGGGCGATATTACATGTTTGTATTTAAACCTAAATACAAAAAAATAAGGGGTTAGGGTCTTTGGAAAGTAGTGATTATGGTAAGAGTAAGCCTCAGTTCATATAATGTCCTCTCATACACTTTGACAGTTTAAAACATGCAAGGCAGGGCCTTCTGTCTGCTCTGTGGGACAGACCACACAGCTGATGAATCGGAATCACGTTAAAACTGGGTTTACAACAGAATTAGACTAAAGGTTGAACATTTAGTTTTGATAGTTAGGATTAGGATAAGGCTCTAGAGAAAGCTCACAAAGAAGTAGAAACTTGTTTGTGTTGTGATGAGAGGCAGTTATGAGTGAAAGCTTCACAGCTCAACTATGTGCAAGCATTCTGCAGTGTCAGAAGCATCTGTCAACTTCACACCTTAAACAAGCTACTCATCCCCAACAAACACACATGACAACAGAAGCAGCTTCGAGGGAAACAACTTAAAATCTGATTCATGAAAAAACAACTGCCAAAAACGTTATTTCGATCAATCTTCTAATCAAGAAAAAAGCGGGCATTTCTCCATGATGATACACATGATGGGCCAAACTGCCCACCAATCTCTTCTTTGCATTACCTCAGAGACACTCCCGCACTTCCCACAGCAGGGACGCCCTCACCAGATGAGGAGTGAGACAACAAGCTGACCCCTGCGCCCTCCCCACAGAGTAGGCGAGGTGGTTAACAGGGAACGAGATCCCAAACACAAACAGACAGTCCCCTCTCCTTAGATCAGGGGGCCCCTTGGCCCACAGTGCCCGGTTGTCCCTCTTGCCTTGGCCCTGGCTATACACCCTAGTCACCCTAGGTCCACCTAAGGCACAGACACCCATACACACTCCCCCTACCACAGCTGTCAAAACCCTGACATCTTAATCAATCCTGGATCCCCAACCCTGTCATACACTGCAGTAAGATGGATGCGGAAGGGGATGACCCCTGACCTCTGCCAGGGGTAGAGAATACAAGTCCTACATCCCCTGTCAGCTCCCCCTCTAAATCCTTCTCCCCCTCAAACATCACCAGTCTCAGACGGCTCCGCTGCTGCCCCAAACAATGATGGAGGGGAGTCCATTCATCCTGGGCTGGGAACCAGGGGCCAGGGTGCCCTTGTAACCCTGCACGTACACAGGACAAGCACACACACACACACACACACACCACTCACACAACTGCACCAAAGAAAACCTTTTAAACAAAAACAGTTTGAACTTTATCAAACCACCTCATAGGCTGACACTCTCATACACATTTTCAAAACAGCAAAACAATACTGAAAAAAAAAATCACACCTTAACTCATGTTCCTTTAATTTCATCCTCACCACAAAGAAACCCCAAACCTCTGCGTAAGTCTGTTTGTCAACACGGGCATAGAAAAGCGGAGGCCCTCCCCCCCAGAGCCTGTCACATGGGGAAATATTAACCAGCTCATCTGTGCACTTGAGGACCAGCACCTTTTAACCCACAAGTCCCTGACCCACAATCAAAATAAAGCCAACACATGTTATCCAGCTGAAAGTGAAATTTAGAAAGAGAGTAGAACTGTAGGTAAAAGTGAATAGAGTGGGCGTACTGGCACTGTAAACTTAAACAAGCTCAAGCAGATGCAGTGATATGGGGACTAAATGGATATATTGGCTTGAGCAACAGTGCTTGTGCCAAGCTGGCAAACACTACAATACTGCATTAGTCACATAAAATCAAAGCTTCCAAGTCCTTTATTGCCTTCTATGATGACTATAACAGCTATTTATCTCAACGAGAATTAAAGGGAAGAGATAAGAAGTCATTTCCAATGATGCAACAAAATGGAAGTTATGGTATACAATATGAGATCAGGGTTCTCATACTGAGTCATAAGAGGTTGTTGTGGTAAACTGATGGCAGATTTCTCTCTCTCTGCTTCTCTAAAACTGACTCTGGATATAGAAACCTGGCTGGAGCCATCTGAACCCCGAGGAGGTGGCAACACTCCAGGAGAATTCTTACTGATCATACAGTGCGCTCAACAAATAAACTCTGAACTATACACACAAACCTCCATCTGTGACTACTTGAACCCCTTTGCCTTTCCCCCACCCCCGAGCAGCCAGTGGTAGCCCTAAATCACCAGACCTGTTTGTCATGCAATTAGTCCTCCGAGATAAAGGCTGCCTCGTAAATTAGGAGAGGTGTAGCAGTCCGTCCCCCTGTTAATCACCCGTGCCCAGCCTCTGACCCCTCACTGCTGCGGCCCACTGCTTTCTGTGTGATGTTGGTGGGTGGTGACGACCGGGGTTTACCAATAAACTTTCATGGCAGAACTGGCATCCGCTCATCTGGCCAGCTTACAAGTGTGCCCCAGCTTGGCAAAAGACTGATCAACAAAACAGCTGCTGAATCCTACTAGATGTTATTAACATCACAGTACTGTATACCATAAGCCACAGACCACTGGGTGCAATGAAACAAGGGAGTTAAAGTGGGTCAGAGGCAATCAAAAATGCCATTTATGAAGAGCTTGGAAACTGACAGAAATTTGAAATGATCCATTGGTGGGTTTTTGATTGGCATTCCTAGGATCATTTTAAATTCACCAACAGGCTTCAAGCTCTATCATGATTGTGATTTTAAAAAGTCTGAAGGGGGAAGCACTCTGCGCTGACCTTAAAACCTCATCAAACTGCCTGGTATAGGATCATGGCAAGCCAAGAGTAGAATAATTGTCCACAAAGGGCTATTCCTCTCCTACCAAATAGAACTATTTCAGCCCCATCTCCCAGCTGTGTATTTTTACTCCTCTCATACCTGCTTGGAATTATAAACCCTTTTCTCTCTCTCCTTCTCTTCCTCTAAAGCTGTCTATCTCTTTTCCACAGCTTGGGGCTCTATTGGGAATAAGAGAAAGAACAGTTAGGGGTGGGGGGGGGTGAAAGACACAGCGTTAGTGCAAACCAGTTGGGGCACTAGTCTCCTCTCTCCGTGTCACCAATTCTCCTGGGATGCATCCCACTGCACAACACCTCCCAGTGGGCCCACTAATTACTCCATTTACAGTCATCTCCGCTTCTATCACCCAACTAAACACTGGAGAGAAGGCTGTAGAGAGCTAGGGAGCAAGGAGATAAAAACATCCAACGGAGAGGGAAGAACAAAGAGAACAAAACACACGAGATAAAGACAAAAAGACAGAGACAGGATATTGTAAGGGTGGGACGGACTGGACGAAAGGGGGGACGGTGGTCTATAAATCGAGAAAGGAGCCAAAAAAATGCCATAGACAAATATCAGTTCCTTACCTTGACATTCTGAATTGCGCTCCTCGTATCCAGGGTTGCACAGACAGTTCCCAATGGGCACCAACCACTCGCCGTCTGCCCCGCAGTACATCTTGGGCACCTCCTTCTCCTCTGAGTTATCCACGCATGAACCACGAACTTCCACAAGCGAAGAAGTATCAGCTCCAGTGATAGTATCTGGAAACTGGGCCAAATTACGCACGGCTAAAGGACATTTCTTATAGAAGACCCTGACAGAAACAAGTGCAATGCACGCCCCAACATCCTGGAAAGCCAAATAGAAACCCTTGCGGGTCAGGGCTCCCACATCCCGGACTTCTGTGTTCAACTTCATGATACGATCGCCAATGTCCACCTGAGTGAAGCTCTCATCTGCGGCGATGGTATCGATCTTGCCGAACTGGTTCTCTCGGATGTAGCGCTCTTTGTCGTTGTTGGACTCGTAGTAGTAAAGGTTGAAGGTTTCCTTGCAGGTTCCCATGACACCCGGGAGACTATTGCAGTCTCGGAGAGTGAACTTAATCTCAATGTAGACTCGCTGGGCACCTCCTCTGGGGATCCAGTCAGTGCGGAGCCAGTTGTTTTGATTGGGTTCCATGACATTGCACACCTGGTACGTCCGAATGGGGATGTTCTTTTCATCCATAATACTCACTTCCTCCCACTGGGGAAAGGAAACAAATAATAAAATGTTAAAATCTGAATCAGAGAGACTTTATTAATCCCAGAGGGAAATTCTTAAACTTTATTCATCTCCACCAGGTCACCAGTGACTGGTTTAGAGTTAGTTTCAAATCTACCCCTTTATATGGAATTTTCCTGTATGTAGCTTTCCCAAATTAAAAGTGTTCAACAGAGGACCAAATGCATAGAAGAGCTAATTGGAAAAGTTATATCTTCCAGTTTAAACTGTGCTTGTTCAGCAACCTAACCCTAAGTGGTTCCCTAATGACTGGGTGGATGACGAGAGTTTAAACTTTAAATCTGCTTGTGAAAATGGTATTTTCCAAACAGCAGCTAAAAGGAACCTGTAAAGAAAATTTGTTCAACATTAAGAACATCTAGAAAATGCCAGACATAAAAGCTCTCCTAACTGCCAATGTGTAATATGTAACCAATTAAGCACCAAGTACATATTACACGGTGCCAGTTTGCGCCAAGCAATACAGCGCGAAAGAGCATTTTGTTGGTTTAGCCAAGCAGAGCAGTTCATCGATGGCTTAAATTAATGCATATTTTATGAATGACACCTAATAGAGTTGTGCAAAGATATTAATATTTATTGCTTCTCCTCCACTATGAAGGAAATATGTGATTAGGTCTCTGGCTCAGCAATGCCTACAGTTCAATTACTTGGTGAGCTGTACACAAAATCTTCGTCTCACACACACAAACACACACCTAGGCATTAGAAGATTGCTAATGATCTAATGTGCGCCTGCTCTACATCTGCATACATGATTGGCACTGATGTCAGTATGAGCTTGCGCGGGGGGTGCACAGATTACCCGGTGTGGTCTGGCTTATTTTTTACCCAGGGAGAATGTTTGTTCAACTCGTAATAAAGTTTCTCTCTCTACACGGCACCGTTGAGGAAACGCAAGTATTTCTCGAGAGCCTCGGAGCAGCCCGCTGCCTCTGATTTTTTTTTACCGTGTGTTTTAAATAGAGCCTTTGACTGAGCTGGGCTGTAAACAAGAGCAGACAAGCTTTTGGCCGCTGTCGTTTCAGCCATTTAGAAAACTGCACAAAAAAGGAAAAAAAAGTGAAACATGTGAGTCAGGCTGCCAGATTTTACTTGACGCCTTATCATAAACAATCTGGATTTAAGCCTTATTTCCCCAAAGCAGAGTGGTACGATAATGCTAAACATAGCTGTGGCTGTAGGATTTAGAAAAATGTCTATCATTTCCCTCCTGCTCTCTGGCTTCAGCCCCGCTTTTGTTGTGGAAATCAAGCACCGCTGAGATAACGCTGCACCTTTCCCCCCGCCGATAGCAAGAAAGAGGGAGAATAAGGCCAATTGGTCATAATGAGAGGGTGAATGCAGGCTTTGCGCGGCTGCCGGGACCCTGTCAATCACTTGTTTGTGATAAAATGGCTGAGGGGAGGACCGGAGCGCAGCACCGATCAAGTTCATTTAGAGAGGCCGACAACAGAGCTCGCAACAGATGCACAAGATGAGATCCTGCTCCCCTGGGTTCATATTCATTAGCTGACATGGCGGTTGCTAATTTGTATTCATTTTCATAAAACATTAAAAGGCTTAATTGTGGTTTTCATCACATTTGTGCAAGCAGGACAACTGGAAGAAGTGACTTCTGACTGACGATCACTAACCTTCTGTCGTTTGAGTGACCCTGACCTCTAAGCTTTGACGATTTGTGATTTTAAAATTTATTTATTTATTTATTTATTGGCCTTTGAAAATTGATTTTTCCCCCCAGGTTTGGACAATCAGAGGACAAAAAATGAATATTTTATCTAAAACATCAAAACCTACTTTTTTATTTATGAAAGGCTAGTTAGGGTGAGGGTTAGTTCCCAGCATGCATCTGAATACATATTTACCTGTTTCTATACAGTCATGTTTAGGCTAGGTTAAGGCATTGCATGTGCCTTACGTTTAACTAAAATCTAACACTTGTGGCCATCGTGGGGCCCTCTGCGGCCCCTGTTCTTTCTCGTACCAGAGCCACTGTAGCCCAATTAGAACCACCAGAGATCACACATTCTGTCGATCCTATTCCCCGTTGCTTTGTAGCTGGTCATACTGCAGGCAAGAGCTGAACCCCACTGCACTTTCCCCCCCTCATTCATCCATTCCAGAGGACCCTCTCTCAGCTGCCAAGTTCCTCTCCCTCTCCCTCTCGCTTTCGCTTCGACTCAATGGTGGAAAGGGATATAAAGTTTCTCCACAAAGGCCGATTCAATCCACGGTCTATTCAGGAAACCCGACGCCCGCTGGAGTATCGGTCCCCGCATCTGACCATTACAGAGTGGTTGGAGAGGAGGGGAGCAGAAGAGAAAGAGGAACAGGGCTTGTGAGGTTACTGGGGTGCTTACACACCCCATGGTTCTCAAAGCAGCTTCCTGAACCCGATGTGGGTCTCGAGGTGGGTTACAGGTGGCCTCTATATAAGATAAAAAATGAATTTATTCATTTTTTTGTGAAATGATCTAATCCTGAGCCCAGATGCACACAAACACACACACACACCAACACACACGCAATACAACAACAAAGATATTCCCATAAAATGCTCTCCAGGACAGAATCTTATCAAAGGGGGCTGTGTATCTATTTGGCGGATCACTCTACAGCTCCTGCCAACAATGGATATCATCTCTCTATTTTTTCCCAATAGGGGACCATGCGTCCTAACAAGGGGACACTTCTTTGCAGCACTTACCCCTCCTTCTGTCGGGTTGGAGACCCATCCCAGCTCCCCCTGTACAGCTCTGGAGTCCAATAACGTGACTGGAAAACAAGAATGAGAGAAGTGAGCATGCAGTATCAGACCGTCCACACAACATCAGCACTGGCATATAATCCAATTAGGCCTTACACTCTGAGGAGGAGAAATGGCTTCCTTTTTTTAAAATGATTAAAGCAAACACACACACACACAAAGCTTTAAAGCGATTTATGTAGTTGAGGAAATCTTCTCATGATGATGGTTCAGGAGTAAAAACTGTGGGCCAGCAAGTGTTACAAAGATGTACATGTGAAGGCTTTGTTCTGCGTAATTCCTTGCTGTGCCTAAGAGATGTGGTTTGATTGATTTTCGTTAAGCAAAGGGATCTTCTATCAACGACAAACGCGTTTCCCCCGGAGCCTTTCACATCGTGATTTTATCGGTTGCTCACCGTCGGCTTTACGCGTTTGACTGAATCCTCGTGCGTAAACTTAAAATAAAAATTTAAAAAAAAGAAAAAGCATTTTATAAAAGGGGAAAAAACACAGTGACAGACAGAAAACCGAACACAATACTTTCTCCAAAAAAGTAAAACATCACGCACAAGAAAAATTCACGCATATATTTATAATTTAAAAAGGGACCAAATTTTTTCATATTTGCGGTCCTTTAAATTTTCTTTTAAATTCCCACTGAAAGGAAAAACGCTTAATCAGCTGCATGTGTTGTAAATAAATAAATAAATAAATAAATAAAAAACCGAGCACGTAAGCACATGAAATACATGATCGTGCACACTGAAGACTCATTTTAAATTTGAATCCCAACTAAACGGCGCTCGGGGTTTCTAACTGTGGACTTGTTGTGTCGGACAGCTTTGCTGTGCCGAGCAGAACAGACGCACACCAAAGAGTCCGTCAGAGAACAGATGTGCAACTAATGGGCTCGTCTTTAATAAAATAAAGTATTGATTTTATTAGTGTTTACAGTAGAAAGTGGGTTAGAGCCTCATCTGTAGCGGACCTAACACGCTGCGCTCCGGGACTCGAGCAGGCGACTGCAGCCCCGAAAACCTCCGAGCGCATGTTTTGGATGAGATACACCACACTTCATTTAAATAGTTCTCGTTTTAACACTTGATCCTTTTTAAGTAAACGTGTATCTGACACATCATCGGCAAAAATTCTTGAACGAATCGACTACAAATATTTTGTTGTGTCGGCGTCAATATAATGCGCCAGGCAGGAAAGCTAAACTTTTAAAATTTATTCGGATTTTTTCCCCTAAATGACGAAGTGACAGCAGGAGACATCGCTGCGGATGCTTCTGAAAATGATGGATTAAGAGCTGCTTTGTCAGTCGGATGTGTGGTTTGCGAGTCTCCAAACTGACTCGTATATTCATTTGGTTTCTCTTTTTCGACACACGTTTGTGCGAAGTGCTTTTTTAAATTGTATTTATTTATTTATTTATTTATTTTTTTTTTT